CAGACCCATCTTCTTCTGATTCGAAAATAAGATTATTACTAGAGATTCAATAGAGATTAATCTCTTAGGAAGGTATAATAATAGATAAGTAAGGTTTTGAACAATTAAAGTCTGCAGGAATTTGAGTTAAAGAATAGTTCAATTCATATTATTTGCTCAAAGTCTGCATTTTTCAAACTTTTTATCCATAAACATCTTTCAATATTTTCAGTTTGCGTCCTCGAATAAATGCTGTATCAACACCTAACAACAGATGTTTTTCGATCTTTTTCCGAACTGTAAGAAAATTCGAATTGTAATCCTTCCAAAACATACGCAAAACTTGCATTAGAATCTTTCTTCCCTTAAGTAAAAAAATTAAAATAAATAAATAACCCACCGCTTTTATTTTATTTTTTATTTATTTTTTTCAAGTGCTATCTGGGAACAAAACTATAGTGTAACACTTCTAATGCTATTAAAAAAATTAAGATAAAAATTTCTTTAAAACATCTGAAAAATATAAAAATATTCTGCTTCTTTTCTTCAATAAAAATAACTCTTGCTGTTGCCACATTATGAAACTAAATTTTTACTGTTGAATGGCACTAAATCTCAACTGAATTCCAAATTTAAAAATAGTGCTTTCTTTTATAAACATAAAATAGTATAATAGAAAAATATCAAAATTTATCTGTTTAAATACACATAAAAAGGCTTGCAATCGAGTTATGACTAAAACTTCATTAGATTTTATTTTTGATAAAGAAGACAGCATGCATAAGAAAAGAGTTAAGATGTTTTGCAAACCACAATTTACGAAAGATTTTTTTCATATAAATTCAAAATGTAACTATCACAATTTCCAAATATAAAGAAACTAAAAGTGATATTAAAAAAAAAAAAAAAAAAAAAAAAAAAAAAAAAAAAAAAAAAAAAAAAACTTCCAGATTTTATGCTGCGCATAATATGGCGTTTTTTAAATGTTTTGTGTGTTACCTTGCCATGTTCTTCGCCCTTAAACCACATAAAATTCAATTCAACAGCAATATCACAAAATACTTAAAAACAGCATATCTTTAGAATTTCTGATTCACAGTCTCGCGCGCTGGAGATAAAAATGTTAATTTCCGTATAGTGTTGCCGTTGCTCTCTTTGAAATCGTTGAGTTTGTTAATAAAAAATTCGTTAACGTTTTGCAAAATATGAAATAGACAATAAAACAAATTTCAAATTTGGGCTTTCAGATGCTCATATTTGGGTGGAGAGCTACGTTGTTCAAATTTTGATGGCTCTAGGTACCGTCGTTTTTTCACAGTGCGAGAAACATACATACATTCATGCAGACTATTTAATTTCTTTAAGTATAATACAGGGCAATAATAACATATATAATATTTGGTGGCAACAATTTGAAAAGTGAAACGGACATTTATAGTGAAACAACTCAAAATGCCGTTTCGAAACTAATAGTCCTTCTGCGCTACCGCCCGTTTAGTCTAATAATAAATACAACATAAAAAATAATAAAAACTTGTAAGGGTCTTATTTTAACCAGTGTCTACGATTTCGAGCTGTACTTTAACTTCTTTCTCTATCCATCACCAGAATGCAAATTAGTTGTTTGTAATTAAGCTGAGGTTTGTGGATCTTGAGAGAGAGCTCCTGGCACTAGCGTAGCGTGTTAGCTTCTGCCAGCTATAGCAGTTACAATCAATCTCGACTTTGCATTCTCTCGCTTCCTATACCTTAGACTGAAGCGGCAGTAAATTATTGATACAGCTTATAAATTAGTAATCAACTGGCCGTCTTAAAGTCCTGATCAACGTCTAATTTAATTGATCGTTCTTATTTACTTGAATTAAAACAGGCTGTGGTCAATGTAGCACAAAGTCATGCTGTTATGTTCAAAACGGTGTTTAGATAAAAATGTTGTTCTATAACCTTCATAAAACTTTGTCGTTCTATTTCAAACATAGCGGTAACTCGCTACATACCTGTCACGATTGCATGAATTACTGTAGCAATGCTATAGACCAGGTAAAACTTATGAAATTATAAAAAAAAAAAAAAAAAGGGAAACCCCCAGATTGTTCTACATCATAAAATAAGCAGCACTTTTCTAAACGGATGTCCATGCGATAAAAACATTTCTACTTCCTTGCACGAAGTAAAAGAAGTATTGTAATCGCGAAAAATTTCGGGTTATTTTCAACGAAAATATCCATTTTCATCGTTTTCGAATCCATCTCAGCGAAGATTTTGCGTAGTATTCGTACGTGCGAGCAGTATAAAAGTCTCTTTTTCACACAACGCATTTTAAAATGGATTCAAAACAGATTTTTTTCGTGACGTCTGTACGTACACACGTAGGTATGTATCTCTCATAACTCAAAAACGAGTAGCCTCAGAGCCTTGAAATTTTGTATATGAGACCGGTATAACATGCAGTTGTGTACCTCTCGTTTTGGTTGCAATCGACCTCATAGAAAGTATTATACACACACGCACACTCTGTTACACGTCTCGGGGTGAGTTCAGTTTTTCTTTTCTTTTAATTCTTATATGGCAGTAAATTGTCCATTTTTCCTTTAAATATGATTGAATTATGTTATTTTTATCTTTCGGTTAAGGTTTTTACGCCTTTAGTTAATCTGCATGCAATAGTTGTAAAATTATCAATAATCTTAAGCGCGACTAAGCTTAACGGCGCAGGCATATTTGTTTACATTTTAAACTTAGCAGAATAGTGAATTCAGTTTCTGCACCTTCAGTCTTTTTGCCGAGTGGGGCCAAAAGTAAACTTTTAGTTCTGTGCACCTAAAAATCTTTCTCCTAATCCGCTGGCCGAATTGCTTGCTTTTGATTAGCCACTCGAATTTTAATTGTAAATTATTATTATTATTATTTATTTTTAAATTGTTATTATTATTTTTAATTTTAGTTGGTGTTTTATGTTTTTCTGTATTTTGCAGTTTTTAATGAAGGTGTTTTTAGTTTTTATGTATTTTTGCCTTGCCGTGCAGTGGGGACTGAATTAATTGAATAAAAAATGTATCTCTAATGAAATACGAGGAAATACGTTTAAATGAAATGCAGCAAAACATGTGTATAATTTAATACGCCGTACAAGGAAGTCTTCTAGCTGTCCATATCATATTTTTTCATATAAATTTAAAGTATAAAAATTTCTGAAGATCTAGAAAAAAAATTAATGAAGTACAAATAAAAATTAAAGCAATTACGAAACCTCTCGATTGTGCTGGATCCCTGTATGAATACCACTTTTGTAAATCATTTTTTAACCATTAGTTGTTAAGGCCAATTGTTAAGAAAATAGTTTAGAATAATATTCTCATGAATTTCGAAACTCAAGGAATCCCTGCATACAATTATTCAAATACCATTCTCGTATATTTTAAAAGTTTCCATATTACTTTTTTTATTAATTTCATTAATGATCTAATTACAGAAGCATAAAATAATCACCTAATTTTTTACGCATAAAATAATCACCTTTCTGGGTGTTCTAAGAATGGAAAACGACTACGGTGCACTGAAACATGATACGGCAAAATGAGAAGCAGAACTGTAATCAGCGGCAATTTGGTGCTTTGAAAAGACAATTTCCAAGACCGCAAGGTAATTCCATAACGCTACACTTTGCCCTTTAAAATTTACGACTGTTCTTTCCGCAAATGCACATTAGCGTGCATTAATGCGTCACCCTCTTTCCCTCAAAAAAAGTCATGTGTAATTCACAGAGTATCCCATTACAACAACATATTTTCTTAGCAGAAAAGTCCATTATGAATCCCGTTCAGAATTTACCCGAAAAATCAATAATTTACGAAATTTGATAGAAATCCCTTCTGACGCAAAGTATTTTAAAAGGTTCCTAATAAAGCAAGAAAAGACGCTTGAAGGTTGCCTGCTTCTTAAAAAATACCTTTGACCTTATTTTCTGCATTCCATTTTTCTTAAGACGATCAAAATTCCCCACAGCAGAACAATGTAACGTATGACTCTGGAATATAGAATACTACGTAGATTGAGATACAATTTAACATCAACAGTGACAGTAAGCCTCAAGATATTCGTCTAAGACTGCCTAGGATACAAATCAACTTGACCTTTAGGGATTTCAAAGGATCTATACAATCACAGCCCCAGATAAGGGGCACAAATCTCTTCCAGATAGACACGCCCAGCCCTTGACTGAACCAAGAATACAGTCATCCATCAAAAATACCCTGGAAATCTCCAAAAAATTTCTGTTATCAAAAAAAAAAAAAAAAAAAAAAAAAAAAAAAAAGAGGTGTAAAGACATGTTTTCGATATCCAGATTTTAGCATTTGGAGAATAGAACACCTATTATGATAATCAGATACAAAAGCCATGAAATAAGTATATAGCTTTCGAAATCAGGAAATAAAAAAATGAAACATGTAGTTTTTATAGAAGCCGCATGCTTAATTCTCTAGTTAAAAATAATTCTCAAAATAAAACGTAATTCCAAACTAAAATTAAAATTTCTCTTTAAAAGGAAAAGTAAAATGCATCTTTCCTATTTCTTTATAAAAGCTTACATAATAAAGACTAAATTATATCTTGAATTTAAGTAAACAACGTTTCCTATAAATGTGACAGAAAAAATTCAATTTTATTTTGTTATTATGACCGAAGATGTTCCGTGCATTTCAATGGACAGCGGTGCTGGTCTGATGTTTTCGTTGATATGAAAGAAGTATTTATAAAATTATTTATATAACCAATTTAATGTCCGATATCTATTTTTATAATGCAATAAAAAGTTCGTTCAGTGAATATAAAGGTTAACAGCATATTATAATCTAGGTATGAAGGAGGTCCTTAATTTCAAGATTTAGAAGAATTAACTGTATATTCTGTTATCAGAATGTAATGCCACTACATTTTTCACTGTGCCTATAATTGTATACCAAGACGCTGGATCGGAAGCAACGAATTCATTCTTTAGATTTCACGAAGATTTATCTTACCCACTGCACTTGTTCTTTAAAAGTCGCAACTTCAAGAATGATCCGAAAACACGTTTATAATGAAGCGATTCAGAATTCTGGCCGTCTGAAAGAAAAAAAAATATTGTAGCATTTGCAAGAATTAATAACTCTATACATTCGGATGAAAAAAAGGTAAGTGAAGTTTTCTTAATTTAAAATTTTCAATTGAAAACATCAAGAAATTGGTAATTAACTTTCTTATGAAAACAAATATACTTCTGCCTGCTCAACAATCATTCACTTATACATTTTTCTAAATAAATTTTTTAGGATTAAATAATTTTCGGAATTTTATATTTATTCATGGATTTTGATACTTGCACTTGATTTACATATGCTCTCAGAATTTAAATGTTATTGTAGATTAGTTCGTAACAATAATTAATCATTTATTTGTTTGCATTAAATTTCATTTAAATTAACTTTAAATTTGCCTTTTACGATAAATAGAGAATAATAGAGAATGTTTGTTAAATTTAAATATAAATATTGCATTATTTTTAAAAATCTACGAAATTATTTCGAGATCTGGTATAAGTTTTATTACTCCACAAACGAAAACTACATTCCACCGCTATTTTCAGACTGCTTGCATTTTAAAATGCATAATTTCTTGAAATCACAATAGAATAATTTAACAATCTAATCTAATACTCAGCGTTATATAATAACTATTGCCCCGTTAGCTAAAATGTCACTACTTTAGGCCATGTTAAAGGTACTCCTTACGAGATTATATACTTTCCAACCTATCTTGAGCAATTTAGTTATCTTAAAATTCTCTTAAAAGCTTTAGGCTTTGATGGAGATATTAGGTGGAAAATGAAGAAATTTCTTCTCGAAACTGGGTATTTAAAACTATGGGTTGAAAATAAACACTTTCATTGCTTACAACGCACACTACAGAACTTCGAAATTATCTCTCCTTTTAAGTAACATTCCCTACAAAGACTAAATCCAAGCAAATTTTATCTTAATTCGAACGAAAAGACGCCTCAAAACCCGAAGGTCAATTTTCTTCACCAGAATAATATGAAAGTATGCCTTTAATGTTTTATCAAAACAAGAAGAATCGAATTTTAATTATTTCTGATATAATACTTAAAGATGTTCACATGTATTCGCAAGCATTGCACTTCATCCATTTTGTGCAGTTCGCGGATATTATGCTATTTTACATTTCGAATACTTATTGTTCAGAGAGCTGCATTCAACGACCATATCGGCTCCTATTTCCTAACTACATTTACTCGCTTTGCATCTTTCTGCTACATTCTGGTTATTTTAGCAATACTTTATATTGTTTATAATGATTATCATGAAATTATATTAAATAGCTGTCAATACCCTAAATATTCAAAGGCTTATTTACTAAAGTCAGGAAGAGACTGTTATTTAAATTTCAACTAGTAAAACTTTTATGAATTTCACATTCTTCAGACATTAAATTACTTCGGTAGGTTTCATAAATTTAATATAGTGATGGTTAAGTCTCGCAGTATTTCAAATTTTTTCATTATTACAGTATCGCAATGAGGACAACTTAAAACCGCACAACTACCTATAAATGTAAAAAAAATTAAGCCCGAAGGACTATTAATTTCCTTTTTGTACTTTGCGACATTCACTATAAAACGGCGTTTCACTTTTCAAATTGTTGCCACCAAATATTAGAGCCCCGCATTATATTTAAAGAAATTAAATCATGAAGAATCTGCATGAATTTAGGTATATTTTTTACATTGTGAAAAAACTACGGTACCTAGAGACATCAAATTTTGAATAACATTAATCCTCTACTCGAATATGGACATCCGGAAGCAGAAATTTAAGATCTAGAATTTGTTTTATTATCTATTTAATGTTTTTTTTTAAAACGTTAAAGAATTTTTGATTAACAAACTCAATGATTTCAAAGCGAGCGATGGCAACACTGTATCGGGAGGGCGGATTTTTTTGTCCTCCAGCGAGTCTGTTCTCGCACGCTGGAGATAATTCTACATATGCTCTTTTGGAATATTTTCTGATATTGCAGTGTAATTAAATGTTATGGTTTAAGTGCGAAGAACATGATATTTGATAAATAAAGGTTACACGCAAAACGTTTGAAAAAAAAAAAAAAAAAAGGCGTAATATAAAATTTGAAAGCTTACAGATTCCCGCCCCCCCCCATTTTTAATTAAAAGCTGAACTCTTCTAGGACATGTCGAACGGCAATATAGTTTGAAAAAAGGTTTATTCCTACCCAGGTGAGAGAACATTCGGGAAAATACTCGTCCAGAAATACACTAATGATAAGAAAGTGAAACAGTCTTATGGCTTCATCAATTAAGATAGTACGTCTAGTTGCACATATAAATTTTAACATACGATGGATAAATAAACAATTCATGTGACTCGCTTTACCACGCATTTTATTACAGCAAAATGAAGCCACAATATCTCAAGATAAGCTTGCATAGAACACTTGACAATTATAGTAAAATCATAGTAACAATTTTCTTGATAAAAAAATTATAGCAGTAAACCCAAATCCGCCACATGTTTTCTGCCAGATACATCAATCAGAGATCAACGCCATAACTTGGCTGTAATTTTAACGTTAAAATGTCTAGATTGCCACTAAATCTTGAATAGTTTTGCATAATGTATTTCTTTCATTTTAGTAACTACTATATACACATACTGCTAAAAACGGAATTATTTCAAAGTCATATTGAGTTTAAAATTGTGAAATTAAAAAAACCCACATCAGCTTGGTTTGATTTAAAGGCTTTACAATAGTGGGGAAAATGCTGCGTATTACCTAAAAAAACTAACCTTAAATTTACATGTATGTATCCAAGTTAGCAATACGCACTAGGAACGATATTTGCAGCATGTGCAAATAAGTAGCTGGTATATGAATTAAAAGCAGGCGCTTCTCCACAAAAGCACTTCACTTGATAAACATTCAACCAGTACCCATATTCCAGCGCTTTATTAGCTTTTGAAGAGTCATAAGAAGGAAGTGAAAATTATCCTGTCCACTGAAGTACCTGTTCCTTCAGAAAGTTTGATAAAATATACGTTTTCAAACATACTTTAAATCCCAGTGTGCTGTGTTTATAGTAAGTATCAATACACCGATTTTTTTACTTTTAAAAGAAACATTTAATAAATTACCTGAGATATTCAAAACTTACAACAAAACAAGCTCTGTTCTAAATAATTTCACCCAGCTGGAAGCTACTTAAGTTCTCTGAGCACATTGAAAGCAGGATATGAAGCTATGCTTTTCAGTAAGTTAGGGTGCATTTAGATGTATTGACTTACACGTTGGTTTTATATATACGTTGGGTTTACATATTGTTGCGTTCTACGGTTTCTTGGATTTGGAGTAATTGATGACAACACTTGATAAAGAATCAAAATACAATTTATTTTTCAGTATACACAGGACAGTTCTAAGATACTTTTATACTCGTCGAAAAATTACGTGAAACACGTGGAAACAGACTTCAGGCTTATAATGATGAAGACAGCTTCACGGCAAAGCACTAAAGTACAGCTCCCGACTCAGTCGATCGCTCTGAAATTAATACCTGAACTCAAAGACACTACTTCCTCTTCGTACAGGCAGGATATATATAGTTTTAACCTACCTTCCAGATTATTCCCCAAGAAAACTGCTAAAAATGCGTTCTAAGATTTTCTTCCTCCGTCTATAGCATGTCCCCAAACATCACCAAATCGGCCATTTCGCGCTAAATCTAAGTCCATTCTTTTCGACCGCTTTACGGAGAAGCTACTGTCTGTCTACGAGAAGAACAGTTCCCGCTACTATGTCTGGCAGGTTGGGGTTGCCAATAGCAACAGGGCTAGTATATTTTAAATAGGGACGAACCAAGGGTTGCCAGCTCATCTTTAAATGCGCCAAGATGGCATGAAAAATAAATCTTCAAGACATCGTTTCAGAAAATGGGTCAAGGCTCGTTTCTACAGCAACAGACAGCTGGAGACTAATTGGTAAGAGCTTTTCTTATGATAGATAGACTTATCTCAATGCGCAGCCGCTGGGCATTTCGCAACAATATAGTAATCCAACAGTAAACTGAGAAATATCAGTAACTCACGCAATAGTTTCAGAGCAGAATGCAGCAAAACTGTACAATCCAAAATATTGAGTGAACAGCGGATGAAGTAAAATGTGCATAACTTAAATAAAAGCAAAATAATTCATTAGTCGAAAATTAGCAACCATTCGGTTTTCATGGCATTTGTTCCATTGAACTCGATTTCTTGTAAAAGGAATATAAAACAATTATTTTCTCGCAGCTGATTTTGTGTTTCATTTGTAACAGTGTTCATAAATCTCAGTAATAAACCTCCCCCCGGCCTTCATCTTTTTGTGATAATCCTCTTAACTAATCTAATTATAAACAATTATTAGTTATTTATTTTTAAAATTTGAAATGATATACTAAATCAGTTATGTCTAAATTATGCCTTCCTTAAGATTTTAATTTGCAATTTTAAGGGGGCACATACACCTTAAAACCCTTAAGATCTTCGAATATGTTACTGTTGCAAGAATTGAGATATATTATCTATTTTAAAAGCAATTACTTCCACCATTTTACAGATGACTACATAATACAGCTGCTTTGGGAACTAGTAACCAGAAAGTTAATGTTGCTACAAATTTTTTTATAACTTAATCTGCTTTGTGACAAAATTTTTTATACGTTCATGTCATGTTTCCACCTTGCGCGAATGGTATTTTACAAATGGCTAATGGTACATAGTTGAAATTTGACGGAATTCTTTATATGAGCACTATCGTCTAACTGAACCCAAAGTCTGATGAAAATTTTAATATTAAAAAATTTTATGCACGAAAACATTACAGTTTTTCTTAATAAAATACATTTTATAAACTCAACTCCAAATAAAATAAAAATTTAACATGGAATTCTCAGGATTTTTGGTCCGCAGTAGTTTTAAAATATTGCAAAAGGCATATATTAAATATGGATTTAAATTATGCAACAGAATGTTTCTAATTGTGTGGGCAAGGTGGAA